AGGGTGGGCTCCTGCAGGTCTGTTTCTGTCCCAGTCATGGGCCAGAGGGTGACCTCACCCACCAAGATGAGGTGGGGAGGGCTGGCGTGGGGAGGGTTGCCCTTCTGCGCGTCATACGGAAGAAGCGTGGACACTGCACCAGGAGGGGAGTGTGGAGGTGAGGACAAGCTTTCCAGGAAGAAGCAGGGACAGGGCAGAGGGGAGAAGCCAGCTGCAGCTGCCGAAATGTACACACTGGTGCAGCGGGAGTTTTAGTTATGAGAGAGAATCCGAAAGGACAAAGGGACAGGCGCTGACCCTCCACTCGCTGTGGATATTCGTGCCACTGGTGACAACGCTCACGGTGACGCGATGGCCTGAGTGACAGCAAGGCTCAGTCAGTGCGCAGCTGAGCAGTGAGCAGTGACACCCCTTTCCCCCGAGGCAGGCTGCCTGCTCCCCGCCAGGTCGGGGCCCCTGCGGCCCGTGAGCCCCATCGGGCCAGGCCGGGGCTGGGGCGCGTCTCAGCGGGCTTGGCTCTGCTTGGGCTTTCCCTTGTTTGTTCTTGGCAAACCTAGGCACGGCCCGCGTTCCCACGTCTCTTGAGCACTCAAGAGACGGCATGGCCTGGAGGCCAGTCCCGCAGAGGCCTGGACGCTGCGGTCAACCATTCGGTGTCCCCACGCGGCTCCGGGAGCCTGACTCCTGGGCCTCAGCGGCTCTGTCCCCTGCCGTCCTGCTCCCCCTCTCTGACTTCTCCGTAGAGACCAGCAGCAGCCCCGCTCGCTCTCCAGGGCTGGAGCTCCGCCCCCTCCTTCCGGGAGCTTTCCAGGAAACACAGGTGGGAGCCTCGGCTGCAGAGGTCCCTGGCCGCTAGGAACCAGGCTGCACAGCTGTATTTCCGGCAGGAGCCGGAGCCCGTTGTGAGCCGCGAACGCGAGGGTCTCGGCAGCACGCACCTTAGGAGGATCTAGCGTGCCCGCGGTGGACACAGAGCGCGCAGCGGAAGGTAGCAGGATGAGACGCGCACACGCAGCGCCCTTGAATCATCCTGAAGCCGGCAGCCGCCCCCTCGCCGCCCCTGGTCTTCCGCAAAACCCGTGCCCGGTGCCAAGAAGGTGGGGACTTACGCGCTTCTCACTGAAAGGTGCAGAATGTCTGAAGCTGGAGTCCAGGGCTGGCGCAGACGGGCCGGAAGGACCGCGCGTGTGGGAGGAGACTCAGAGCTGCGCACCAGCTCCGGACTCCTGCCTCGGGGTCCCGTCTGCACCCGCACCCTGCGCTGCCGAGCAGCGTGTGGAGGTGGGGTGCTGTAAAGGAGCTGGTAGCCCAGCTCCTTTGGAATGGGGTCTCACTGTGGAGGTCAGGTTGGCTTTGCACTCACTGTGCAGCCCAGGCTGGCCTCAAAGTTGCAGTGACCCTCCTGCCTCAGCCTCCCAAGTGGTCAGGTCACAGTGCCACTGCACCTGGCCAGCATTTCCATTCTTACAGCAGAATAGATCTGATGCCTGGAGAAAGACAGGTGGGGCGGGGCGAGGGGCCTGGGAGGGTTGGGCACTGAGGCATCAGATCTGACCAGGACCAGGATGCAGCGAAGCATAAGGAAGGACCCCTGGCATGGGAGGGCCATCTCTCTGGGACTGGCCACGTGTCTGGAGTCTTGGGTTCTGATCCAGCCCGGCGGCTGGCTGTGGGTTCCCATGCAGACACGGGGGACAGGACAGGCTCCCGAGCAGGGAACAGCAGTGCACGCTGGTTTAAGTGGATGGCTGCTGGTGCGCCTACCATGAAGACGTGGCACAATAGGAAATAAGACAGGAAGTGAGGGCTCCACTGGGACCGCACCTTTTGAAAATAGAGCGAACAGGTGGATTATCTGGAATTGAACACTATAGGCTCTCAGGAGCCTGGAGGAGCTACGGTGTCGGGGCAGAAACTGACCCCTGTGTCTCCCCCGGCCTGCCTGGGACCATGGTCTCGCTCACTCCGTTCCAGGCCCACAGCTCCACTCTCGGGAGCCCTGGGCGTCCAGCTGTCCCATGGTCAGAGCAGCACCCTGGCTGCCCTGGGCGGGCAGTGCCATCAGACCAGACATCGCTCTTGCTGGAGACATGGGGACGAGTGGCAGGTGCCCGCCCAAGGCTCCCTTCCACGTCCCCAGGGAGCCGTGCCGAGATGAGCTTGGACCTCTCTCTCCTGCTTGCTGCGTGGCCCAGGGAGCCTGGCCTTGGCCTCAGGGTGGTGGCGCTGTGAGATTCGCCGGAGATCAGCTCTCGAGACTCTGCTCCGTCACAGCTCGTTCAACCAGTGCGGAAAGCAAGGTTGGGGGCTCTGCTACAGGTCCCCGGGCTGTTTCTAGACTCAGAACCCCGGGGGCCACTGACCACAGCACTTGTCTGGCCCTGGTGACCATTCTGAGGACAGGCACCTTGCTCTCCCTGGGCCACCTCTGCTCCTGCCTCTGAGGACCAGATTCAGCTTTGTGACATCTGGGAGGGCTACGCTGTGCACTTCTGGCACAGTGGCCCCCTGAATGTAAATGGGATCGCTGCCTGCATTCCTCTATAGCTCCCTAGTGCCTCTGGAAAAGGCCCAACAAGGCTTGGGAGGTGGCTCATGGTGTGGTCTTGGTCCCACACGTCTCCCTGCCGATGCAGTGCTATTTCCACTCCTCAAATGCCCTTCCCCTCTTGTTCTTGGGGACATCTCAAGACCTCTTGGTGGCCTCTGCTGACCTCTGAGGCTCAGCCCCTCCTTCCTCTGGGCTCCCAGAGTCTTGGTAATTCCCCGATTAGCACTTAGCTCACTGACTTAGAATTGTTTGTTTACGCGTCTCTTCTCCCCAGTGTGGGACGAGGCCTTCTGCATCTTCAGATCCCCTTGATCCAGGGGTGCCTTGGAGAGCGAGACACATACTTCGGGTCCAGTCAGTGTTTGTGGGGTGAACGACCAAAGGACCTGTGTGACCCCCAGGGTCGTCCACCCTGGTCACCGTTTGGGTCCTGGCTGCTGTTCCCGACTGCCTTCCCACAGCTGGGGCCTCTCTTCTGTCTCCAACAGCTGGCCTAGCCCTGCCCAGGCTCTGGGGCAATCGCAGCCCTGGCCGGGGACATTTAAAGAGCCAGAGTCCGCATGTGACTCCAGGCCGCCTGGAACTGGGCTGCGCGTTCCACGCTGTGCTGGTTGGGAGCCCGACTCCTGCACACCCAGCTCTCTGGGACACAGTGTCCTCAGCACCCAGTCCCATGGCTGGTGCCCAGCTCTCCAGCACCTGCTGCCTTGCGTGTGGTGGACCTCCATGCACCTGGTGCTGGGGTCTGCTGTGATAGAGCTTGCGACCTGGCTGGCAGTGAGGTTGCAGCTGAGAGGGCTAGGGGACGGTGGGTTATAGGGCAAAGGTGCCCCAGGGCAGGGGCCGTGGAGGGGGAGGGGAAGGGAGAAGGTGGGGGCTTCTTCTTGATGAAGACTGCAGGGCAGGGCTGGAGGAGTCACCCCCACTGGCTCAGAGCTGCAGCTGAGTCTACAGAGTCTCTGTCTGAGCACCCTAGGAGGGTCTGAGAGCTGAGGTTTTTCAAAGGACTTTTGTTTTTGTACTGGGGATGGGACGCAGGGCCTATACACTGTGCTACGTGCCTAGCCTTTAGAGACAGAGTCTAAGTTGCCTAAGCAGGACTTGAACCTGAGATCCTCCTGCCTCAGCCTCCCAAGTGCTGGAATTACAGATGTGTGCCACCATGCCAGCCTCTCACATGACTTTTTTTGTGTGTGTGTGCCAGGAGTCAACCTCATGATCCCACACTTGCCAGGCAGGCGCTGTGCCGCTGAGCTATATCCCTGGTCCACATGACTGTTAAGATCAGGCATGCCAGCAAAAGCTGTGTTTTGTGTGCGTGTGCGCGTGTACGCAGATTGGAGAGTGAATCCAGGGCCTTTGCACTGAGCTACATCCCCAGCCCTTTAAAAACATTTTTTCTTTTTCATTTTAGACAGGGTCTTGCTCTGACCCTATGTAGCCCGGGCTGGGCTCAAGCTTGTAGTTTCCTGCCTCAGCCTCCCGGAGGGCTGGGGTTACAGCTGTGCACCTGTAACATCTACCCAGCCCCTGCAACATGCCAAAGACGTGGTTAGGAGCTGGGGTTGCTGTTGGAGGGGAATCAAGACTCAGCCCCGTCCCCAGGTGTCCCCAGTCCCAGACTGGTGGGAAGAAGTGTGCAGGGCCCAGGGACAGCTGAGATGGCAGCTGGGGGACACGCGGACCAGTCGGATGGCGGAGGCCGCAACGTCGGGGAGGCGACGGTGGAGCCAGGCCCAGGCAGTGCTCACCTGGCCCCAGAACCTTCCCATGCCATCCATGGTGTGGGAGAGGTGGGTGGGTAGAGGGGCACCAAGTTCTCGATTGCCCAGGGGACCTGTGACAAGGCCCAGCAACACTTAAGGTGCAGCACAGCCCAGGGCCTTGGGGGGTGGTCTTTCTAGATCCACCTTTGGTCCCATGTGTGGCCCCGGAGTGCTGGGCGACCTTGGGCAAGTGAGGTCACCTGTCTGAGCCTCGGTTTGTTCATCAGCAACCTGAGTGTGGTGTGTGTCTCCTGGGGTTGCAGTGAGCTCTTACAGGAGGTCTTAGCCCGGCCCGTGCTCAGCACTCGGCAGCGGGAGCGCGGACCGGTGATTATCACAGTCCTAAGTACCGCGGGGAAGCTCGGCTCCCGGGGCGCCCCAGGAGGGGGAGAGGTGGAGCGCTGGGACGGTGTGGGGGTGGACAGGGCCGGGAGCGCAGCGGCCTCAGCCAGGCGGGGGTGACAGCCGTCGTCGCGCCCTCCCGCCCCCGCGTGGGCGCGCAGGTGTCCGCCGCTCCCCGCGCCGCAGCCTTGGCCGCGGCCCCACCTCCCTCCCGCCGCGTCCTCCCCTAACCCCGGGTCTGGACCGGCAGCGGCGGGGCTGGGAAAGTTTGAGTCACGGTGGGGGAGCGGCGGAGGCGGGCCGTGACCCTGAGCAGGGTGGGGTGGGCCCAGGACCCGCCTTGGGCTCCCGGCAGCGGGACCCCGCCGCGCACCCCTATCCCGCGCGCCGAGCGTCCCACGAGCAGCGCCGCGCTCTCCACGATGCCCGGGGCGCCGCTCCTGCGGCTGCTGGTGGCCGTGGTCTCCGCGGCTGCGGCGGTGGCCGGTGCGCCCGGGACGGCGCTGCACCCCGCCACGGGGGACGCCACCCTGGCCTTCGTCTTCGATGTCACCGGCTCCATGTGGGACGACCTGATGCAGGTGATTGACGGCGCCTCGCGCATCCTGGAGCGGACCCTGAGGAGCCGCAGCCAGGCCGTCGCCAACTACGCGCTGGTGCCCTTCCACGACCCAGGTAACGCCGGCTCGCGCAGCTTCCCGCGGCCGCGCCTCTGCGCCCTGGGCGCACCTGGCGCTGCTGGGCCCGGGGTGGGGCCCGGGTTGCAGCGCCCCCTCCCTTCCCCGCTCCTTCTTCCCTCCCCAGGGACCCTTTGTCCCCGCTTCTCCCGCGCGCCCCTGGTTGGCGCTGTCAGGTGAGTGGCACCGGCGGTGACCCCGGCAGGGCACCTTCCCAAGCCTGGCTTTCTTCGTTTGGGAAACGCTACTTTTCGGGTCTTTGCCTTTTACGTTTGTCATTTCTTGGAATTCGCTCCCAGCTTGGGCGTTGGAGGCCACAGCTGACCCCAAACACAGGGCTCGGGCGATGTGGGGCCCACCGTGGAACCGCACGGGTGAGCCTCACCCGATCGCGACCTGGCCCTCTGTCCCCTGGCTTCTCAGGAACACAGCAGCTCGCCGCAAGCGGGGCGCCCACCTGCGTGCGCGTCCCCTGCGGGCAGCGCCCCGCTGTCCCTGGAGCCCTTTCCCTGCAGCTCTGGGCTGGCACATGCCCTCGACTCGGCCCCTGGGAGGCCCCGTGGGGAGAGCTCCTGCCGCAGGGCCTCAGAGCGCGCTGCGCGTCCCCAGCCACAGCCGGGGGCTGGTCCTCCTGCATTCTGTTTATAATGGAAAGCTTCAGACTTAGAACAGAGTATACAGCACAGTGAACACCTGTGCGCCCGCCGCCTGGGTCCTCTGCTTTATACCGTGCTTCATAGCCTTTCCCCGTCTACCCACCCCTCTAACCAGAAGGATAGCTTTAAAAGGAAAAAAATTCAGAGTCTTCGCATGATGGAACTGCGAAGTCCTTCGTGCTGAGGAATTACACACAGTGGCGCTCTTCTGGGAGAATGCGCGTCTGCTAATCACAACATCCTTAGGGCCCTCCAAACTCTTCCGCGGGGTCCCCAGGCGAAGGTGTTGTCTTGGGGACTTGGGGTCCCTCTGCTTCCAAAACTTCTGGGCTTCCCAGGCCTTTGCAATTCAAAGCCCAGCAGCGAGGGTTCCAGAAGGATTTCTGGGAGCAGCAGAAGAACCGCTCTCCCCGCTGAGGCACCGAGGTCGCCGCGGTGCGGAGCGGGAGCGTGACTGTACCCTGCGGCGTGGGCAGGCACGGCAGTCCCCTCGGTCTCTCCAGCTCTGTAGACCACCGTCTGGACTATTCTTCCAGGCCGTGGCTCTGAGGGAGGTCAGGGGTCCTGGACTCCACCCCTTTATCCAACAGTGGGGGAAACAGACTAGGGATGGGAGCAAGTCACCATTCATGATCAAAAACCTGCATTTTTCCTTAAAATGCCTGGTTGTAGGGTAGGAGCCAGACACGTGTCCCCAGGCCCAGGACGGGGCTCACGAGGGCTGCCCTGCCTCCTCCCGTATGCCGACACCTCCAGGGAGCCCTCCAGGCACCCCCACCTGCTCCCCCTGAAACCAAGCAGGCTCAGCCATCACTCCATCATCCTCTCTGGTTCCCCAAATCCTACTCTCTGGAGACACTCCAGTTCCCTTAGAGGGGGACACCCCATCAACGGAGCCCCCTGGTATGGGTAGAGCCCTGTGAGGGAGGGGACCAGTGGCAAGCTCTCTGAGGACATGCATGGCAGGAGGGCCGAGGAGCATGAGCAAAGCTGGGTGTGGTGGTGCATGTCTGTAATCCCAGCACTCTGGGAGGCTGAGGCAGGAGGATCACAGTTTTGAGCCCAGCCTGGGCAACTTAGTGAGACTGTGTCTCAAAATGAAAAATAAAAAAGGGCTGGGGCTGGAGCCTAGTGTGAAGGTCATTCCCCAGTGCGCACCCCCACATGCACAAAAGAAGGAAGGAAAGCAAGCAAGCAGATGCATGTTTTCTGGGTTTGGACCATTACCTGGCAGGAGCTCACTTTGTAGCCAAGGGCTCGGTTGGGACAGAGGACTTGCTGGGGTGCAGGGAGCTGGCTGGGCAGTGGCTGGAGGACAGTCTGACATGCAGGGACAGGTGGCTGGGAGAGAAGAAGGGAGGGCGGCAGCCTGAGGGGGGCCCAGGTCCCTGCGTTTCCTGCTGTGGGTTCGGACCTGGGCAAGGAGCAGTGGCGGAAGTCTGGCTGCCTCTTTGGAGTCACCAGATGGAATTCCCTTCCGTGCAAACGGTGCTTGAGAAATAGACTTTCTCACTGACAGGATCCACGTCTACGTGCTGGACAGGCTTTCTAGAGAGAGAAGGGCCTGGAGCTAGGAGTGGTGGTTCTAGACCAGAGTCTGGCAACAAAGGAAGACTCGTGTTTGGAAATTTTTTTGTAAGTACTTTTTTTATTTGCTAGGTAGTTCAGGCTGGTCTTGAATACATGGCGATCCTCCTGCCTCAGCCTCCCAAGTGCTGGAACTTCAGATGTGTGCCACCATGCCCAGTGATTTTCATGAATTTTTAAGTGCAAAATGCGGTATGTTCCCAGAGATGAAATATTAGAGAAATTTGTGAATCATTTCATTTGTCTGGAAATTTAGATTGCTTTCAGGTTTTCTATGGTCGAACATTACAGCAAACACTCCTGGAGGTAGAGCGGCATCTTTGGTTGGTTCTGCTGTAGGAGTAAGTGCCCAGGAGTGGAAATCCTCGGCAGTTTTAACACAGGGTGGATGGGCCACACTTCGAATTGTTTTCCAGAGGGAGCCGGGAGTTGAACCTTCACCAGGGGCAGCTGGGGGCGGTTTTGGTGCAAACTGACATGGGGCACTAGAGAACGCCGTCCTTACCTTAGTGCAAAAGACAGGAAAGCGTCTCTTGTGTTTTGACTGCTGGTGAGGGCCACTACGGCTTCAAGTGTTCCTTTGATTGCTTCCTGTGCAACTCTTTTTCTTTTGTTAATTGTCAGTTTCTTTGCTGACTTTTCTTTTTTTATGGAGGGTAGACAGGGTCTCTCTGTGCACTTCAAG